AAAATGATTGAGGGTGAAGTGAGTTTTCTCGGTGCATTTCAGCTTTGTGGGGGCATTTTGACGAGTTCCGACGACAATTCGACAATTCTGAACGCTGGCGCCTCCTGTGGACACCTGAAAATGCTTGTGAAGCTAGCGAAAGAGCAAAGTGCCCCTCTAAGCCAAGCAGAGCAGAGATTTTTGAAAAACGGGAAACAGAAAATGAAGGCTCTACAGTGAAGATTATACATAGTGCAGTATTACGGTAACCACGGTAACCATACTAGTTATTGTAAGATCCCGAACAACAGAGCTTGCAAGTGATCCACATGAGACACTCCCGCATGTTTTTCTGCTTCCGATGGAGTTTCGTGGTCATTGCGGCCGATCTTTGCGATCCATGAGCGGTTGTGATGTGCCCGGTTCTCAAGGTGCCATCACCCTCCATCGGCGACAATCCCAAACGATTCGATTTGCTATTCAGTGGCGACGCCCCATAGTCTCGGAAAACTTGTCCGCTCACCCATCGACACCCACGTAATGAAACGTGCACGCTTTATAGGTAGATGACCTTGATTCAGTGCCCTCATATGTTTCGCAATATGTCTCGCACTCTTTTTAGGGCCCAGGTGACGCGTCCTTCCGGGCGATAACTTTTGTTGGCCTCATGCGACTCGAGAGAGAACTCGAAGTTAAAATTTGATAGTAAATTGAAATTCTTGGACTTTTCCAGATAAATCTCTTTTCAGCTATGCGAGCTCTGGTGGAGGTTACGCGTCCTCTGGCGGAGGTTATGCGTCATCCGGCGGAAGTTACCCACGAGCTCCAGCAGGCTACGCAGCTGCACCACCACCACCTCCACCACCACCACCACCACCGCCACCACCACCACCATCATACTCTGGCGGTGGTGGAGGTGGTGGCTCTTATGGAGGTGCTCCTATCGGAGGCGGCTCTTATGGAGGCGCTCCTAGCGGAGGTGGCTCTTATGGAGGCGGTCAGAGTGGAGGTGGCTCTTATGGAGGCGGTCAGAGTGGAGGTGGCTCTTATGGAGGCGGTCAGAGTGGAGGTGGCTCTTATGGAGGTGGAGGTCAAGGAGTACAAGGAGGAGGACAAACTGGATACAACGGCCCGGTGAGTGAACGTTCGGTTTCTGAAGGTCCTTCATTAATTCATACACTTCAGGTTGGAGGCGGTCCCACTCAAGGAGGCGGACCCTACAATGACGGAGGTCAAGGCGGCCAAGGCGGTCAAGGCGGAAACTACGGTGGAGGTCAACAGGGTCAAGTAGCACCAGTACCAGAACAAGTTCAGCCTGCCCCGGATGTCCCTGCGCCTTCTGAAGGACAGGTTGTCGAGAGCGTTTCCGAGGTTCAAACGAATGATGGAGGCCAACAGGTAAGTGAGTATAAAGTCCCATAGCAGATTCCCATTTGATTAATCAAAATTTAGGTAGTGGATCAGACTACCAAGGTCCAGCTCAAGTCCAAACCAGCGAACCAGCACCTGAGCAACCCGCGCCCGCTGAACCTGCTCCCGAACAACCAGCTCCGATCGAGCCCAGTCCATCAATCGACGAGCCTGTAGGTAACGTTGAAGTACCGGCACCTGCACCTTCCGAACCTCCACCACCGGTGGTGAGCGGATCATCTGAACCACAACAGGCTGCCGAGTACGATGAACAAGAATACGAAGATGAAGAAGAGCAGCCCACTGAGAACACCGGAGAAGTGCCAATAGAACCTCAACCAGCTGAGACTCCAGCTCCACTCATTCCACCTCCTGCGCAGACTAATGCCCCATACGTACCACCAGCACAAACTCCGGCGCCATACGAGCCACCAGTACAAACGCCGGCGCCATACGAGCCACCAGCACAAACGCCGGCGCCATACGAGCCACCAGCACAAACGCCGGCGCCATACGAGCCACCAGCACAAACGCCGGCGCCATACGAGCCACCAGCACAAACGCCTGCACCATACGAGCCACCAGTGCAAACGCCTGCACCATACGTGCCTCCAGCACGAACTCCATCCCCAGAAACGCAAACCATAGGCTATGAAGAGGAGGTCGTGGAAGAGGGTGGAGAGGAATACGATGACGTTGCTACCAGTGCGGTAAGACGATTTTTCTCGAGCATACCATGATTGTTGTGAGGCTGCAATCAACTTCTAGAGTTTTCTATGCTCTTTCCAATTTTTTAGCCCGGCGGTGGTGGAGGAGAAGAAGCTCCGTACAAGAACAAGAAGCACAAGAACTAAACTGTATTGGAGATAGCCGATATCTGCAATGATTCTCAACTTCTCATGAGCGTTGTATGATTGACTACCTGATTGTTTGGTGACGAAATTGTACGGTTCCCTATGATTCGTGAACCGTCATTTCCCACCTTTATGCCATTCGCCGCATCTCAGTGATACGCCGTCGTTTTTGTTGTCTGTACACATGTCGAATTAATTTTTAATTTATGCAATTAAATATGAATTGATGATAAGTTCTGTTGACGAAAAGTTTCAGAACATGGCAGAACCTCTATTACGGGTTCCCTATTCCGTTCAAGACCCCAGAGGCATCTTACTGTATTTTTGCCACAGGAACTGGCTTGCAGAAGCGAGTGACCACTGTGAGCTCAGGAAAGGTCACACTATAACAGGCTTGACCAGTAGAGTGCTGTTTCTGGGAAATACGATACCCCCTCCCCAATGAAATTCCCTTCCAGTGCGATGGTACAAAGTACCTCTTCCCCACCCATCCTACCGATCATCTTGCCCACTTTTCCCAACTTCCCAGCACTTTTTCCGAAACTTTCCAACGAGATCCTTTTTCTCCCACTTCGCCCTCGTGGGTGGAGGGGGGTGAACATGGCCACCAAACGACTACTATTTACAACTATCGGGAATGACTGTCACTTGGCAAACTTCTATCAAGGGCAAATATCCCTTTTCCGAAGCGGAGAGCGAATAGCCTTCCCCTCCGCCCTACTCCCCTCGAAATTCTCCCAACGATCTAGGGCACATCATATCTGCTCGTCTGCGCCCTCTCTTGGAGACAGCACGACATGCCCAGCATGGCTAAGTGAACTTCAATACACGACATGGCTTTCCCTCGCCAATTTCATCGACTTAGTTCATCTTTGAGTGGCATTCTTCCTTTTCTTAATTGAGCCCTCTTACAGAAACAGCATGGCGTGCCTGTAGTTCGTCAGAACACAGCAGAGGCATGTCTCGCTAGGAAATGGATCCTTCTGTCACTCAGAGCCAATGAGTCAAACAGGTAACGAATGCCCAGTCTGGGGAGAGGAAAAACCCGCTTGGTCCCAGTGAGTTCAGACCCCGCGGTGCAGCACGACATTTGTCCGCTAACAATAAGTGATCTCTTGAAACATTGCGAGAGCCATACGAATTTGAGAGGATGGAATGGATTTACGCTTTCGAGCCATAGACAACCATTTTTTTCGAATACGCCGAGCATTCACCAATCGTTTAGGGCCATTGTGGGCCCCATTGGTAGAGAAGGCTACCCTGTGGCTGCTTCAAACCACACCCCTTCACTCGCCCACTCGGTTGCAATAGTGAGGACTACTTCTTTCCCGATTCACAGCGGGTTTTCGGTAGTACGTGGTTTACGCAAGGGCAGAAGGAAAGCCGAAGTGCGGTTCAAATCTATAATTCTCAGAGGTGGTATGGTACCAATTTACCTGCCCCGGAGGGCTGGAAAGCCATGTTTGCCCTCGTGGTCTATCTGAGATTCAATCTCCGTTCAGCGCGCATGGCAAAGAATTCTAGTTGAGGATACACACCTTCCGCCTACACATTAATAACAGTCAGTTAAATATTTTGTCAGAAAACAAGACAAGGATGCAGTCATTATCACTAAGGTCGTCATCTTTTCGCCATCTCTTTGGTTTTTCTCTCACTGAATCGACCACTAACTCACCACTATTGGTGGAAAAGGCAACTGTGGGCGGGTCCACTTCACCCCTCCTTACAACGCGCGAATGATTGTGACCATATCATCTATATGCTAACGTATGCTGGGGGGTGTTGTAGTGTAGCGCTAAGCAGCGCTGCTTATCGTTAAAGGTCCGCTTCCAATTGCAAACCGCGTCCAATGGGGGGCAAATGAGCCTTCCATCTATCCGAAAACATTTAATCG